TTCGGTCGCCGAGAAATGATGTGTTGATTATTTGAATATATATGCCGAGAGTGGGGGGGGGCGAGACAGGGGGGTTGTGGGAAATCAAGATCTTCATGACATACTATTATCTTACTAGGGTTGTTATTGTAACGTTATAGGTTAAGGATTATAGTGTTAAGCTTGCAAGTAAAAAAAAAGTATGGCTTTTACACATTTGTCGCGTATTTGCCATGTCCCTCTTTTTTGTTTTCCTTTCGCCTTCTTTTTCGGCGGAAAGTAAAACACGTTCGCTTCCATTATTATTATTTTTTAAAAAGCGTTTGCTTTTTTGCCTACTCCCATCTGCCGTGTATTTCGCTTCGGAGCTTAAGAAGCATGGTGGTTGTTAGAAAAGCGAGACAGCCAAAAAAAAAGCATGGCCTAAACTAATGCAGGTAGCCCGTTTTGCCGAAAACTCCAGCTGACTATTTGCTTTTTTTTCTCCGGGTACTTTGCAAGTGTAGCTAGGCATTTTTTTTTCGCCTCGGACATTTTTGTCTTTCGGTAAAAGTTGTACACATGTTATACTTTAGTTTTGACCGATAGAAGGCAAGACAGCCAAAAACTAGGCTGTTTTCTGTAGGTTACATCCAAAACAGCGAGTCATTTTTTCTTTCTTTGCGGTTACTTTACTTTAATTCGCCGAACTGGTTCCCCCCCTCCCCTTTCGGGTCCCGAGTACAGCTCTACAGACGAAAGCTGAAAACGGAAATGAAAGGAAAGACGTTTTACCAAAAGCAACATGCCATCAGCCCCTCCCCCGAAAAGCGCCTAACCCTGGGCAAAACATGGCGAAGTGTGAAAAAAAGCAAGTTGCAAAATCCCCACAACCCGGCTCTTCCGCTCAAACTACACATGGCCGAATTCGGCATCCATTTCGGCATAGTGATAGGCAGTCTTTGCTTTTGGCCCCTTTTTTCGTGGTGGTGTTTCCAGTTGCGCGGGTGGGTGTGGGTACTGGGCTTGTATGTAGGTATTTGTGGGGATTTGTAGGTTGAGTAAGATAGGTACGGGGCTGACTGTACTGCGCTTTGTATTCGGAAGTACCTAGGAATCCATTTTTTCTTACTTGCTTTGCTTTCTTGTTTTCCTTGCTTCTAGTATTTGCCTGTGGGGCTTTGCGAAATAATGGACATGCATTGACTATTTTTGCAGTAGAAGAAGGATCGATGCAAGTGTACGAGGCGTCTACTTTTCCTTGCGTTGTTTGAAGCAGTAGTACATTGGAGGTAGTACATTTCAGAATGCAGTCTTCAACTAGTATCATGCAGTCGCATGCAAGGTTCAGTAGTAGGAGGAAATACGAGCACATTTTCTCCATTTCGTCATAACACATCGTTTGGCCCTTGTCTTTTCTTATTTTTTCTCACTCCACGTACCGAGGTGCAAGACCGCGGCGCGCGGGACGACTTGACAGACCGCATGTGCAACATGGATGACGCTACTTGTATTACGCACCTGTCATAACGGCCGAGGCGCGCGTGTGGCCCAGTTCTGCACTTCACAAAGTATGCATAATTACATATCTACACACCTACGTATCTACGTATCTACTCTTGACTCCCTCCGTCGCGCGCAAGTGGAGATGCACTCTTCGGCCCTTATGTCTACGTACGTAGAGATCTCGATGCCATTAGGCGCCGTCCCCGACTCCGCGTCCTCTCTCGATGCGCATGCAAGATCAAGCCCCTCGATCATCGAATCCGGCGCGCGCTTGCAGGCGCCAAATGGGAATCAGAAAGGAAAAAAAGAGGCTACTATACGAATACGAATGAACGCGTCTGGGTGCCTCGAGTGAAAAGAAAATCGCATACCAAGAGCTGGAACCAGAAAAGATAACAAAATAGAAAAGTCGTTTGACAAAACGTGCCATTACACAAGGTGCAGAGCGAAAAAAAAAGTTGAATTATCGTGCTTCATTCTCCACGCACATACGGCTGGGATAGCCTATTCTTTCTGGATCTACAACACAAAGGTGCCTCTTTGGCTTTGCGCCACAACAGCCAATAAAGCCTGTTGGCGCAAAAAACAGAAGTTAAAGGTAAAAAAGCATGTTCTTTCCGAGTTTAGGCGGCTCCCCCGCACACACAGTGGGGTCTAGATGGGCGGTCGAACGCGCAATGTACAATGCACAGTGCGCTGGCAAGAATTGGCCCAGGGAACAATACCGATGGGCAAAACTTCACAATTGCCATGTTCCTGTTGGCTCCTTTTCTCTTCATGTCGTGGTACCTGCGTTGTACTAGCAGCACCCACGTGACTATCTTTCTATGCTGTGCAACGTAGCATGGGGAGGCCGAAGAGGGGGGGGGTTGCGCGCGGAACCGGGCTGACAAGCAGGATTCCTTGGAGCAACAGAATCCCGGCATCTAGATTGTTTGGGCTCTCGGGTGACATGTTGATGGCAGTTTTGGCGCATGCGTGTAACATGGACAAGCTTCTGGACTCCTCTTAGCCACGTACAAAGTCACATTCACATGATTCTCAGAGTGCGCCGAGTAGTCGTGTCACGTGTGGCCGATAAGACACAGATCGCTAGCTGTGGAATTGGCGGCAGAATAGGATCAATCTGAATGGCAGAAATCTCGCAATGGCACCTACGCATTGCATACGCAGTGCGCATTGCTGTTCCATGTAGAAATGACAGTGTTACCTACCCGTAAGTGGTTGACGTGTCCATGCCGCCTTGCACTCCCTGTCAGCCCTGTTCTTCGGTTACCCAGAGAATACCACTCAGTCGCTAACCAGCCGATTTTGCATGAACTGGTCTTGCAAGTGCAACTTACGTCGAGCAGAACACACGACTCGCTATCATGTGGCGAACTGGCCGCAAGATTTGCATTGACAGAATGTACGTCATGCTCATCTCCCGTTGTCACTTAGACGCCGACTGCCATCATACGATACACTGCAAGCGAACACCTCATCCCTCGCTCATCATCCAATATTTTGCCTCATTATTGAGTGAGGCGTAAAACTAGCAATGCCGTAGCTGCTTGTTTCATCCGAAGTGGCTGCTGTAAGTCTGCCGTATGCCGCACTATTGGAACCTCATACCCACCCTACAAAGGGTGGCGAGACCTCCATTCCGCAAACAGTAGTTGCCCGCTACGGGTGATGTTTTGCATTTCCCGAGTCAGCTTCCCCGCTTCCGTCTTCAAGTGGCTTTTCAAGCTGTTTAACCGTTGAAACATGGGTCAAGAGAGAAGCGTTGCTGCCCATTACGCCCCCTGCTCACCAATCGGTTAGCGAGAGAGAGCATGGTAGATGCTAGAGTGTTCACGACGCTAGGGCCGTGCAAAAAGAAGGGTTGCTGGTCTTTACTAGACATCCCTGTCCCAAACGCCACTCAGGGACGGGCGACGTTGCATCTCGCGAAATTCTGAGATAGTGAGCGCCTCCAGGGTCGTGGCTCTTTCCATAGTGCGCATCGCGCGGCTTCACAACGTGCTGCCGAAACAGGCTTCCCTGTCTGCCTCGGGAGTTCAGAGGATCAATGTTTCAACGGTTATCCTTGAGCACCGAGTCAGTCAACATGTCAGTTTCGCCGACAAAGACATGTAGAAAAGCGGGCATGTGCAGACCTGAATCCTACGCACGCGCCCTCAACGCGCGCGCGTTACACGATAGGATCAGAAAGGGTGAAAGCCTCAAGATGCATAGCTGCGCCGCAAGAGGAGGCAGCCCCGGCCATCACGGTCATCACGGCCTCCGCGCAACTGCTGCCCAACCGGATACCAATGCCTTGAAACAATATGACCACACCATTAGGCTCTCCAGGCACGACTTGTCAGGTACAGCTGTGCTGTAACCCCGGCGAGAGCGATAGGCAATTGTCGATTAAGCCCTGTACTTAGGCGCATGCGGGGTAGTCTTTCGAAACAGAGCTATACAGCCCACCGTGCCTTCAGCCAAAACAGGTTGTAGCAATTGCATATTTGGAACCTGATCGGGAGTCGGAAGTACATGTGTTTGAACTTGAAACCGCTTGGACTCGCTAGAAATAGTCGAGAAAAGACTGGTGGCAACATAAATGCTCCGCGGCGAGCAATGGTTCACGATAGCACCGTGAACCAGACCCGCTATCGAATACATGTCGTGCTGTGGGGCTTCAATGCAAGGAGGGGTGGGACTGCGACAAGCCAGCTTTGGCACATGAATTTACATTCAAAGTAGGCAGGCTGGTCCGATTGAACAAAGGCATAGCGGAAGCTGTCTCTATTGCCATCGTATCGCACCGTATCGTTTGCCGTCCAATATCGATTTCTTAGGGCTGCCGGTTGTATGCGATTGATTTATCCCCGCGCAGTTGTCGACCTGACACGGACCGTCGCGCTCCCCGAGCGGCTGAGATGTGGGCTGTCCAAGCGCTGTTCATACACGTGCACTAGACTGCTGTTCCCCTGCTACATGACGATATTTCCTAGCATCCGCTTCGCAGCAGACGTAATGGAGGGTGACTTTTCTCGAGACTGGTTCGAGTTTAGGGTAATACTGTGGGGTATCTCGTAGTACACTTCTCGTAGTTTCCGTTCGGCAATAGCCTGAATAGTCAGGTGGTCGCCGCTGCATGCAGGCAGCCCGCTGTTTGGACGCCATGTGCCTCAACAATTTTTTGCGGATGAATTTTTTGATTGGCCGAACCCCCTCTTTACAAGGAGCAGCGGTGTATTTACTACGTCTCACTACGGGATGCGCGGTGAGTTGGTAATACATGACAGTACATCATGTAGTTGCGGTGGTCGCTGTTGTTGCGGCCATACGAGGAAAAACCTGCAGAGGAAGCATGTATGCGACCAGGAACCCAAGTCATGAATCTAGCAGTCACCTGAACAAGGTAGAAGCAGTGACAAGCGCGCGACGGGCCGCGCCCAGCGGTTCGCGCACACTGAGCGGTGAGACTTTGTTCAGCGCCTAGCAACAGAAGAGCGGGTCTCCAACTTCAGTTGCGAATTCATGACGGTGCAAATGCCATCATCTCAGCTGATACGCTCTTCCAAAAGATCCTTTACGCTTTGTTCTCCTAATTCCGGGAACAGACGCAGGACAATCAATTCCACAATCTGGAAAATCAGGTGCTTGTTGAGGTACGTGTCATCGAGGCAGCCTAGAACGTCTTCGATTTGCTGAGTCTGAGCCTCGCGCTCATCGCTCGCAAAGAAAGTTGCTGCTACCTTAGCTGGGACTAGATTGAGGAGTGTAGCGGCACAGCAGTGCTTGATCGTCTTGATCTCTTCGTCCGTTGGCATTTGGCGTGGGGGCCCAAGCGTATTATTGGGGAAAATGGTTGCACGAAAGGTGCGAAGCGCCACTGGGAGGAAAGCGGGGTTTAGGATCCTGGTGTGTATAGTGTGGGAGAGAAATCTGCAGATGCTCGTGGTTAGTGTCCGCAATACAATGGAGACGTATGAAGGCAATTGGTGCGGAAACAGGACAAATGTGTGTATGGCGGCCTCGATGGACAACCTAGGCCGCGGGACAGGTAGCTGGTGGTTGAACATGACGGAGACCAGGGCGCATAGGGCCAATGGGTCGAGGGACGGTGGAGAGGGATATTGATGTGGTTCACAAAGTGAGGCGAATGCCCATGTCAAGCGAAATTGACTGGTTGTACAAAGAGCGCAACTCGAGGAGTCGCAGTCAGCACAAGCCGCACCCAAAAGGTCGGGTTCTGGGCTATTCGTCGAATGCCTCGATGCATCGAACGAGCGAAGCGCATGCTTGCCAGTACGGCAAGACAATGGCAGTGGAGTTGCAGGCCGCTAAGATGCAAAGACGGAATGTCGAGGCCATGTCAGCTGGCGCCGGCCATGGTGGCATGGTCGGGATCTTTTTTGGCCAATGCCGGAACCCAAACTCAGTACGGGCAGGCGTGAGGAGAACGATCGGTGAGACGGCCTAGGGTCTGCAGACCCTTTGTAGGCTCCCATGTTGTCCTGTTGGCTGACGGAAAGTCGCGCTGCAGACTTGTCTGGGCCCCATTTGCAAGCATCGTGCGTTGCGTGGTGGTGTTTGGCAAAAGTGAGGGGCCAAAAGCGCCAAGTCGCCATGTCCAAAACGTGTCGAGTTGCCGCCCGGAACGGGTGCTGAGGCTTGCATGAGACGATGCGCCACGACAGGGATACTCCAGTGTGTGAGTCTGCGGGCCGTCGCATTCGCTGAAGCCAAGTCAAGTGACCAAAATCGCATGCGGAGCTATCTCGCCCTGTGTCGCACGGACCAGCATCACCCCCAACCACTGGCCAACCACGGCATCCAGAGGAAAAAGAAGATATTATCGTAACTCACCTGTCCAATACACCATCCGTCTCACCCACCCTGCCTGGACCGACCAAGGCTCCACGATGGAGCATTGAAGTGAAACCTGACAGCCAAGGCATGCGGCTATCTAATTCAACAACCTGTGCTGCACAGCTCCACAGCGCCATACTCACTACGGGCCGTTTGGCACCCAACGGGCGCCTTGACGTCGTCGTTTCTGTTTGCGGCATTTGTAATTGGCCGAGCGCTTGGCCCGATGACTGCTCGCTTGTGACATATCTCGACGGGAGAGACGATGATGTCGCAATACACAAGATCACTGCGCGCGCCGCAGTAAACGCCATGAATGCATATTGGACAACAGCCCAGAAGAGTCCCGCCGTCGATGCTAGCGGATGCTTAGGGCGCTGCTCTTCAGCGTCCAATCGCTCTGTCGATCTGACTTCCGTCCCTTCATGCGGCAAAAGCCCGTAGCGTTCCAGACGGGTCAGTGATTGCTCTCCATTAGAAACTTCTGATTGGGAGTCCTTCTCTTTCGTAGCGTCCGTCTGTAGCACTTCAGCTATTCTTGTAATACCCTCCCATAATACCCAGCCTTCGCAGGCTTTCCCGCTAATACCGTTTCCGAGGATCATTTCCGCAAAGATCTCGGCAACTAGTGCGCGAAGACAACCATTCTCTAGGTCCTCAGTGGGTAGAAGTAGAGCCAATACGCCGTGAACAAGCAGTTGACGCCATGCTGATTCGCTTTCCCGCTGTTCAACAACTGATGCCGGAATCATATCCGTTGGAACAGGCGAGAGTGCAGGGTGTGGGTGGAGCGTATGATAGATTGTACGCGGGTCTGATATTAGTGAATCGTACGAGGTGGCTTGTCGCTTCGCTATGCGAAAAGCTAGCCACAGAGTGTCAGACACACTTCATGCAATAGTCCAGGATCGGAATCACCTACACCTTAGATGGGACTCAAGTAACTCAGGGATCTCGTCTAGCAACAGTGGTTCCAAATCGACTTTTCGTAGGCGCTGCTCAAGTCCTCTGGTACAATGAGCGATGATCTGAATCACTTCATTGACAAATACTTGGTCTGGAGTGATCTTTGAGTACCACGTCTGTACAAACTCCTTGATGATCACAGAAATGACCCCATATAACTGGAGATCGACGGCATTTGAACTTGTCAAGGGAGGTAACACGTCTTCAATCGGTCGCGGTGTACTGCGTCCTTTCTCGCCGTTGCCAAGTAGCACATTGTGGGAGCACAGCGTGCGTCGAATAAATGCTGCAGTCGCTTTGTCCGAGGTAGGATCTAGACGGAGCTTCTGAGAATCAGCTAGTCGATTTGGGCTTGTAGCACGAGGATGATTATGGAGGTTGTTCCCTGTAGTTCCTGGAGTAGATGGTGCTGAGGCCCGAAGACCTGGTGGCTGCGAAAGAGGGACATCGGGATCCCGGATCATGCTCTCCGCCATCGCAGGAGGATTCTCATTATTGCCTACACTCAGCAACTCTTTGAACACGTGACGAAGGTCTGCTGTGCGGTCGAGGTGAAGGTCGTTGTTGAAAGGTGAATGTAAAGTGAGCTATGACGCCAGCTGATCATCAAGGCTGGTAAGTCTAGCCGAAGCTTGGCACCTCCAACCTATGTGTCACGTTGTCACGTTGTCACGCGCCAACGCTCCTTCACAAACTTCACGGTCAACATCAACATGACAACCCCAAATTCAGATGGTAGGTGGCTAGGCAAACTATTAGTTCACTGTTCTCATGCTCTTCTTAGCTGTGATTGTCGAGGTCGAAGCCCAACTGAAAGACATTGTTCAAAACCTCTACAATCTTATAGTACAAGCGTATGATCACCATGGCAACACGACACAAGAGGCTATGAAGCGTGAGATGTGCGTGAATAGTTCTGCAACTTGAACGGCTGTGTGGCTGACGCGTATACAGCCAATCTCTGGTGCAAAACTTAGTAAAGTTATCGAGGACTGCACCTTCTGTACACATCGATATACCACCTGAGGTCATGTCATATGTCGAGAACTCCAGGAACCCTGACATTTTCACTCGCGAGTTTGTGGAAACTGTGCAGCGGATGAATCAGATGCTGAACGGCCGCATCGATGCATACCGGATGTTGCAAGAGCAATTAGCCTGGCAAGTCTCGAATGCTATCCCAGATCTCAAAGAAGACGTTACCTCTGTGGTGGAATCTACTGGCGGGAAATTGCCAGCGTAGATGTCTCTGCTTCACATTCATTATTACCGGAACTATTACCTGGAGTCCAGATCATCGTGGAACTCGACCGACACTATAAACTCGTCCCGTGTTGCATGCATAGCCGGCCGATCAACTGTCAGCAGATCCTCGATAAAGTCACATATTATATCCCTATGACCGCATGATGAATTGGGGAACTGTTCTTGGTGATAATCCATACACCACGATAGAAGAATAGGTTTTGCTTCCGCAATGCCGCGCAATGATCCGCTAAAAAAGTACTACGGCATTCAAGGATATTCTTCCAATAGGATAAAATGCATTTTCGGACCGTATTCTGAGGAATATAAAACTTGTGGTTTTTCGTGAAAGAGGGGTTCTAATAAGGTTTGCGGGATTTCTCGTTCAATCTTGAGAAAATGCCTATATGCTAGCATTAATGAGCAAAACAAGCAGTAGACATAGTTTCAATCTGGAATTTCTATACACCTTACCCTCTGTTTGCGCCCCGAGTCATGTCATTTGAGGGTTCTCCCCTTGCCCTTGTCAGCAAAGCAGGGTATGTAGTTAGACCCTGTGACCATGACGACAGAGAACGATACGACTCGTTCTCCTTACAGATGTGACTCGCCGTTAGGCCGTTGTCCCAGTGTATACATGTCAAGATGCTCCAGGGTACGATCCTTCTCGACTCCCAGTCATAACAACGAATCAGTGTCCATATTGCATGATTTCCCCCTAAGGCGAGTAAGTATCGCGAGAGAACTCGACTCGAAAGTGAAGTGAGAGCCGATACCCCTGTTACGGGAACTCCGGCCGCGTCGTGTTGTGGCTTTCGGTCCGAAGCGCATATGTCATACATAACTGAAAGTTTCACAAGGCCGGTATTACGCCGTGCGCAAGTCTTGTCCCCACTGATCAGCTATGAAACGGACTCAGGCTTGCGCGTTTTAATGTCTGGCCTAACCAATGTAACAGTAAGCAAAGTTTTCGTCTTTTGAACTATATGCCTCGGAGTCGGAGACGAGATTGTCCCGTAGATCCATCGGTCCCCAAACTTCGAGACGAGGAGCATGTTGGACAGAACGCTCTAGATCTATCGACGTTACCCCAGATATTGAGTGTCTCGTTTCATTTAGCTTTTGAGCAATATGACTGCATCTTATGATATTATTATTCCATATCCGTCGACATAACTCAGCATGTTGTTCGGGCGACAAATTTGGTATGAGATATTAATGCCTGTGACTGAATGTAGGCACATCATCATTCATTGTGAGCATTAACAAAGCCAGTGAAGGGCGTATATACGGAATATCCTTGGTTTTGATCGTGAGCAGTCTTACAACTGTGCAGGGGTTGAGATATAGGAATATGTGACAACAGGGAGACAAGGGGGAATACGGAACCTTGCTCCCGAATAGCGATACCAAAGTTTTTGAATCCCTCATGGCCGGTGTCGGAAGCCGATATTCTCATCGCCTTTATGAATAATCGTATGATATGTCCTTCCAAATCAACACGCACGCGTGACTTCATTGCAAGCATCATGCTCGCGCCCAATTTATAGATCCAGGAATGAAACTACGATAGGTTTTCCTAGGATGATGTAACAAATCGCCGAAACTTGGAGGCAGAAGGTTGCATTGAGCCAGAGCTTGATAATAACTTGCAAAAAAGACCGAGATTATTGAAAGTTTGACTATAGCTTACTGGGAGCAGAACATTGTCGTTGAACGGCAGTCTTTAGGAATGTTAGCAAGAGTGTAAAGTCTGTTCCCGGTTCTTGAAGTTATGACGTTAGTCGTTGAGCTCGGGGACTATATGGAGAGCGAACGAAGAGCAGCTCGGCAGGTTGAAAAATTATTCTGAGTAACGAATGCCAATCCAGCTTAGTCTTCAATAAGAGTTAGCATAACAGAACACGCCATCCACGGTACTAAACTGTGCGGGAACATAGCATTATACTACGAGATGTGAGAAGACTTCCAGCTGAGCAATAGCATCAGATAATTTGAGAAAGGTCTGGTAAATCATCAATTCAGACGAATTCTTGCCAAATCATGAAAACACGATGCAAGCTTTAGCAGACGTCATTGTTAGTTGAAAGATTGCATTGCTGTTTACTTCGAAGCAACATATGTGCTTTTGTAACTTCCAGTATCTCATTACACAAAGAATAGACACTACAAACACTATCTCAGATACTAGCAATTTGCACTGAGTTCCAATCTTCACATACAAGATATCTAAGTCATCTATCTTAGAGAAACATGTCTGCATACAAGCTAAATACAAGCACGATAGGAAGGAGAAAACAATAAGACAAACCCAGTAGACCGACAGAGGCGTTTTCCACCAAGATTGACAATGTACATGTGCAAGTTTTCGTTGTCATCTTCGCACCTACTTTATCGTCTCTCAAAATAGGCCAGGAAACATTATCTTCTCTCCCGTTCAACAGCATCCATGTATAATCCCAAGAGTGGAAATCCCGTAATCAGAAATCCATACACCTCCTATAATTCAACAAAAGGGGAGAAAGGCAAATATCTAGTACTACATCTATGAACAGTCACTAACGAAAGCCACAAAACCACGGTCCTAACTCAGATATCCCACACGCTACAAAAACTGTTCAGACAGCACCTAGCAGTCTCTTTCACAACAGGAATCTCAAAGATAAAGACAATGTCAAACAAACATAATCCCGCAAGCCTCTCAACACATTCACGCTGTATACACTCTTCTCAGTGAATTCCAACCAAGCCAAAAACCCAGAACCAGACGTAAACCCCCTTATTCAACTCCCCATCAAAACGCTAAATCCCATACTTTTACTTGTACTTTGCACAAAGATTTTTCTCAAGGGGTAAGATTTGTCAACTGGTATGTAACAACGCCAGGCTTTTGAGCAAGAAGCTTGTCATGATAACGGATAGAGAAGAGATAATAGAAATGTTTCTAACATAGACTTTCTTGTTAATAAACATTTCCCAAACAAAACAAAGAACAGCAGTACTTATTCCTCATTCTTAGCATCCGTACTTGCAAACTCGGCGAAAAGTGATGAAGAAAAAAAAAGTCGAATAGGAAAACTCCCTAATCCGTCATTAATACTAGTTAACTTCCATCACCAGTTAAAAGAGTCATTCTCGTTCAATCCGCAGAAACCGAAAAAGATAAATCACAAACTAAGCTTCAGGATGCCATTTTTGCTTTCTTAAACTAGCCTCGAGTTCCTGACATACGATATGATAGAAAACTCCACACCACGCCAATCTATTTCCAACACTCCCTCCCTCAGATGCAAGATGCAAAGAAAAGCCCCAGCCCAATCCAATCGGATCCAATCCAATCCAAACGAGGAAAAAAAAGATAAAAGAAACCCTCCCCCTACCATTCCTCTAGCTTTCACCCCTCAATATCTTTTTTCTCCTCTCTCTTCACGGCCCCGGAAACCCAATCTCCTCCCTCTTATCATCCACCACGCGCCCATACTCCAACAGCAGCCTAAAAAACCACGCTTCAAAATCCACATTTCTGAGCACTTTATCATGCCACTCTGTACTCCTCTTCGCAATCCGCCTTGCCCTCTTCTCACCCTCAGTATCTCCATTTCCCCCAGCTTTCCCACCATCGGCATCGCTATGATCTAGTTTCCCATCTCCGTCTTTATCAAACACTTTGGTGCCGCTGAACCAGCGGACAAGGTCGAGATGCTCGTCGCCGCGGAGACTGAGGGGGATGTAGTGGACCCATGGCTTGAGCCATTCGGCGTGCCATTCGCGGAAGAGGGCCATTTTGTACGTGAGACTTTTGCTTTTGAGGAAGCTGTAGAAGCGGCCGGAGAAGGCGTTGCCGTCCATGTCCAGGAGGTGCTTGTAGTACCATGCGTCTTGGCCATCAACGCGTTCAGTTACTTTGAAGAACTCTTGTTGGGCGTCGCAGTCACCGGGGTCGCACTGGCCGATGTGGGAGAACTGCACATCTATGAGGTTCTTCAGCGCTCTGCGGTCGACCTCGGCAATGGTATAGTTAGTTATGGTATCACCAGCCTTGGACGGGCCGCGAACTGGCTCAAGGATTTGAGCTGTATCGGGTGCATTGAGGCGTCGGACAACATGCTGGCGATGTTGGCGCCTCCAGCCACCATTACGACTGAAACCTCCTGTTGTAGAGCCGCGCCAGTAAAGACTATTTGTCTTGTTTTCCCATGTTGTGTCGCGCGTTTCGTCATATCCCACCTTGCCCATCCAATACCACGGACTCGGATACAAAATGTCCTGGAAGCTGGAAATCTTGGACTGTGAGAATACAGGTGTAAGCTCGTGAATGATATTGAAAGCGTTGGGTCGTTCGAAGAATCCATACGTCGAAGAAAGCGACGGAGAGTTGCAAATGTCGGAGAAGGCAGTCGTATTGTAAACGAAGCCTAGATCACTGGCGGCATAGACCTTGCGGTTGTCGGCAGCATCGTCTTCAAACGTTTGGGCCTGTGAGTTGGCAGGGCACGATAATCTCGAATGAGTCCAAGTCTGCTGATGTGCGAAGCGATTAAACTTAGTCGTGCTGCTCTCAACAAATCGAGTGCCATCATTTAGATCCACTGGATGAGCAGAAAACCCATTGCGAGGAGCAGCATTCTTCGCAGAACGTGGAAGAACTTCGTTTCTTGCCTTGGCCACCATCGAAGAAAGAAGGTTATTGGGGACCACAACTCGTGGTTCGTCGTGCAAGTTGAAGCCTAGGTCCATGTCGGGCAGGTATTGTACGAATTGCTTCATCATGCCAATGGTCGCCTGCTGCTGCCATTCCTCGCCATTCTGGTAGTTCTCTACTGCCCCATGTCTTATTGCAACAGCCAACAGTGAACTATCCTCATGACCGAGGGCGTTCGCAACGCGCGACCGAATCGTTGCTGGCTTCAGTGCCCAGAACGGTAGCAGCATCTCATTGATCATGTCATATTCGTCCACCATTACAACACCATTCCGTGTAGCAAATTCGTACCATTT